TTGGTTTTATTCCAAAAAAAGACCACAGAGAGTGCTAAAAAAGATTATGTTAAGGAATGGTACAATAGCAATAATGTTAAGCAATACAATTTATGTTATGCAGAGAAAATAAAAATTGAGGCATGGGTATAGATCCATGAAATATTAATAGAATTTTATAAAGCAATCAGATGCTAATATTACAATAAAAGAGATAAGATCTTTTATATCAAGTGGACCATGTCCCGGTTCATTTCTCATATAACTAACCTAGCACTACCCTTAAGAGCCATAAAAGATTAACGTCTCTTCCAGCAAGTAGAAAATGTACATTAGGATAAATGTTAAATCATCTTCAAAAATCTGATCTTTTTTGATCTTCACAGAATACCTAATAAGTTCCAAGAAAGGATATACTCCTATCCCTTTTGTGGTTCTGTTGCTGACAAAAATAATTGCAGCTATTTCTAGTACACATACAATATCCATATTTACACAAAATTAATATACAGTGCAGACCATCTAGCAAACTTTAAAGTTTTTTTTAAATTGGCACATAATTGCATAAGCCTGTAAAGCCACTATCTTGGCAAGTCTCTTTCAAACTCAACTTCAGGGGCTCAGTTACATAGTTAAATAGGCTGAAAAAACACTTGCGTCCATCAAGGGCAGTCTTTCTCACATCTGTTTTTGCTGCTGATCCGAAAAAAGACAAAAAAATCCCCCAAAAAACCTGTTAAAAGTGCTTTCTAATTTTGCAGCAAATGATCAAAAACTGCTTTTTGCAAGAATTCATCTGATAACTCTGATAAAACCAGAGAATTCCACATCCTAATTGTTCTTACTATAAGGAGCACTTTCCTGTACCTTAGACTAAATCTTTCTTCCAGTCTAAATGAGTGACCTTGTGTATAGACTATATATAGTCAACTTTATGAATAGATTTTCAGACAATGGTTTATATTGGCCCCAATATATATTGAAATAATGCTATCATATGCCCACTGAGGTGATGTTTTTTCTAAACTAAGCAGATTTACATTTGCTAACCTTTCTTCTAAACTAAATAAAATCTTCCATGCCTTTTTAGTTTTGTAGCCCACCAGTGCACTTTTTGTAGTGCCATAATTTCTCTCTTTAGAACGTGTGCCCAATATTGCACAATAATCACTCAAGATACAGATTGTATTTCAGGGTCTTGTCCCAATGTCACAGTCTTGTTTCTTTGTGTCCCACATCTGAGGTGGGCACTAAGACCATGCATAGAGGGCTTCAGCAGTGTTCTCTGCATGATCATCTATGTTTGACAACAACCAAGAGGATGTCAGTCAGCCTGACATGCATTGATACTAAGTTGGTAAGCTCCTTTCTAGGCAGGCTTGCCTAGTAAGGGCACTACCAGTGATGCAAGTTGAATCACTGGCAATGCCCCCATGGCTCATAAAACACATCCTGACCGCATTACTCCCAATGTATGAAGGTATGACCACTACATCTTGACATAATAACATAATGGTTTTGGTGCATAAATGCTGCCCCTTTTCTGTGGAAATGTAGAACATTGCTGTTCTAGAGAAATCTAATTAACACCCAAGAGGGTGGAACCTAGAAACTATAGAAGTTCCAATTTTGCTAAAAATTGGGAGGGACCTTAATTCCTTTAATGATCCGTCAGAGGCTAAAAGTCACCATAATGTAATAAATTGCCCTTACGCAGACCTGTTTAGTGATTAAGACTTGTTTAAAGATGGGTCTAATAGTTAGGGTTGCAAAGTACATGTTTGCAACTTGACCTCACAAGGTCAAAGGAATAAAAGCATAGCTTACTTTGTTACTTTGATGGTGACTTCAACAAAGCCTTGTTAATCTAATTACGCACCATGTAAATGTCTTATATTTACATATGTATATATTTATTTGAGACAAGGACGAAGAGATCCCTACCAATGTTCAGAAGAAAAGTGCCTCATTGCATAATCTGTATATTCCAGTGTGTGCAGTAGTATTGGGGCGGCCCAAAAATAGGGGACACCTGCCACAAGATCTTTTCTATTTCTAAACCCTCCATACATTAAAAATGGGTTAATGATAATGAGCAAAGGTTAAGTAGGCACCCCAGATGATTTCCCCCACCATAAATTTTGTGAGATGGTTTACAATATAATTTAAGGAATTAGCTGGAGATGAAATCCCATAAAATAAATCAACAGGAATCAAGCTGGATTATCTCTGGGAATCTCAGAAACACACTAAACGTGATGTCAGTACCATAATAAAAATTGTATTGCAATTTGAGCTTGCAATAACAAGACTGACAAAAACAGCAAAAAGCTGCCATGTGTGTTTTGCAGAGGCACGTACCCCATGGTCATTCCAAGTTAAAATATTGGTCATTGGGCCATTAGTGTGACAACCTATTTAATTAATCTTGTTGTCAAAGATATGTCCATGCCCTATGGAAAAATAATAAAACATACTAATAATATATATGTGATTAGTAGGTAGTCTGGGGAATGCCTAGTCTTCCTAGAATTAGTGGTGTCCATTAGCATGCAAATAAGATAGCTACAATTCCTAAACTACATGCCCTATATTTACATAAAGTTCATACTCTTCCCAATGACTTTATATATATACAGAGGTATCTTTCATAACCTTTAAATATAGAATTTATCTGTTACTTACAAATCAAAAATCTCCTTCGCCTCTTGTCTCTGTACATTTTGTATGTCAATTAGGGATTATTCTAGCTTCGGTGAGGGAAAAATCTAAATTTTTTTAAAGACAGGAGGTGAATATTTGCTTAACCTTCTTTACTGAAAACCTCGAGCAGCAGAGAAACAGTTAACATCACTTTTCAGAACAAACAATCAGAACAAAACAACAGCAGTATAAAACCACTTAGGCAGACCTAACTTCCCACTTCCCACTTCCACTTTCTTTGATGAGGTCAGCATGAGAGCATGAAGACCAAACTAATTCAATTGTAACAGGCACACTTAGATGAGAAACCACCATAACCAGAATAAATCCAGATTACACTGCAAGAAAAAAGAAACATTGTGAAAGTAAACTGCCAAAGCAAAATGTCACACCATATACAGTAATACATCAGAGAACTACGACATGAGAAATAAAGCACACAGACAACCAAAACCGTAGCATTTATTAATCAAGCATGATGCACAATAGCAAAAACCCAATTTTAGGGAGGGAAACAACAAATGGGGGAAATTCGTCCTATATGAGTTACCCTGAGAAAACAATTTGGCCAGGAAGTGAGGTATGGCCATTATAGGGTCCATAAGGGATCCAAACGGCTCTCTAGACACCAGCCATGCCAGAATCACCAGCATGCAGATATGATCGTCTGATGCCATGCGCCCAAGAGTCCCAGAGTAACTCTCTTGCCATTGTCGCTAGGCCCGACACATCCCAGGAACCCCGGAAATGGTTCGGGCCACCAGCGACAGGTGACCCTCTAATACCAACGGATGTGGATTCCCCTGAGGATCCCACAGAGAAACTCGGCGATAGGGAGAAGTTGCGGGTTTTCGTATGATAACTCCAGCAGTAGAGGGAACCACGGCTGACTCCTCCAAAGCGGCGCGATCAGGAGCAGAAACACCTTCAGAAGCTTGATCTGATGCAATGTCTGGAGAATCATGGAGAAGGGGGAAAATGCACATGCCTCCGAGGGAGGCCAGTCCTGGATGAATGTTTCCACTGCTTTGCAGTGGGGATCTGGGAGCCAACTGAAGAATATGTCCACCTAGCGATTTGCCCTGGATTCGAACAGGCCTAGGTGTAGGGGACCTCAAAGGAAATCCAGTGTCTGAAACACTGAAGGATGTAGTTGCCAATCGCTTGAGGCTCTCCATTTTCGAGAAAACCAGTCCGCCACTAGTTAGTCCTCTCCCGGAAGGTATTCCGCCACAATCAACAAGTTCTTGTCCAGACAATATTGGTAGAGATCCCTTGTCAGATTCAACAGAAGTTTGGATCGAGAACCACCCAATCAGTTTATGTAGCGTACCGCCGAGACATTGTCCATGCGTAGAAGCAGCAAGCAATGACTCTTACCTTTGGTGAAGCTTTGAATGGTGAACGACCCCGCAATTAGTTCCAGACAGTTGATGTGAAGGGCCTTCTCCTCTGGCGTCCAGAGTCCATCTGTTGTTACGCCAGACAACTGGCGTCTAATTCCAGGACGAAGTCTGGCTGGGATCTGAATATCACCTTGCCGTTCCAGGCCTCCATGTGTCGAAGCCACCAGTGGAGTTCCAGATGGGCTTCATCCGAAAGACATACAACGTGGTCGTAGGAGACTGATGACCTGAGGTATTGAGCCTTCAGATGCTGGAATGCCCAATTGTGTAGGGGTCCTGAGAATGTGGCTTGAATGAAGGATGACAGCAGTCCTATTGTGTGTGCTAGATCCCTCAACGTGGTCTGTGAGTTGCGAAGCGGACTCCTGATATTCTTCCTGATACCGGATACCTTAGACATCGGTAGGCAGAGCACAGCCTTAACCGATTCCAGCACGAATCCCAGGAACTGGACCGACCGAGAAGGAGTCACTTCCGATTTCTCCACGTTAAGGTCCTAAAGTAGGTGGATTGTGAGTGATGTCTGCCGACGCAGGATGTCCGGATCCTGAGCCATCAACAGAATATCGTCCAGATAGATGATCGATCTGATCCCTCTGGCCCTCAGTCACCATGACCGGTTTCAACAATTTGGTGAAGCACCAATGAGCCAAACTAAGACCGAACGGAAGGCAGATGGTCCCTTGACAGGGGAACTGTAGGAAGCACCTGTCGGTGCGCTGGATACGTACCGTGACATAAGCATCCTTCAGATCCAGTCAGGAGAACCAGTCTCCCTCGCAGAGCAGGTCTCTAGTAGATGGATGATATGTCGGCAGACAACATACACGTTGAGGGCCCACAGGTTGATCACAGGACGTAAATCTCCTTTTTTCTTCCCTACTAGAAAGATATTACTCAAGAAGCAAGAGGGGCCTGTCACCCTCTCCACTGTGCCCTTGTCCATCAGGGACAGTGTTTCAGAGTGAACCATGCCAGAAGCCTCCTTGTCCATACATATCGCCTGCGGGCCGGATGTTTGTATTGGAGGTTCCACAAAGTCGATCTGAAATTTGGCCACAGTTTGTAGAACCCACGGATCTCTCGTGATGGCCTGCCACTGAGGAAAAAAGTGAGACAGTCTGCCCGCAATGGATAAGTTTAACAAATAAGGAATGACTATTACCTGAAGCGTATAATCAAGGTGAGCTTAAAGTAACTTTATTCACAGATGACATTTCAGCTGCCCGTGTGGAGGCAGCGCCTCGGCCTCTGGAGGACCTTTGGGGAAACAGCGGGCTATACTGTTATCAGGAGAAGGACGGTGAAAATCACTTCGAGATGCGGGACCTCATGCCTCTGAAGGCAGCTCTGCTGGTGGCGTAGCCCCTCTGCCGACTCTTGAGGGACAGTTGAGCACTTGTTTAGGGACTTATAGATGGATGCAGTTTGCCATCCAGCTTGTACAGGGGAGTCGAAGTAGAAGTGAAGCCCAGAACAGTTTCTCTAACATAGCGTAAGGGTCGGTCAGAGAAACCCTCACTGTGAGAAGCCGGACCCAAGTTACCCTCTCGGTATTCATCCAAGACGTCATAGCCAGGTGTCCCAGAACATGCATCTTTGTCTGGACGACCGCCGGAACCAGGAAAGAATCTGACCATTTTGGCCGGCATTTTTCCCTTGCAAGCGACAGCACCATGACCTGTCCAAGGTCTTTTACGTGCAGAGCCCACGTCTGTAGAGTAGAGGGAACTGCCTGAGTCGGAGTCACGAGCCTCAGAGGTGCCGGGCGTAGGTCCCACCTGGGTAAGAAGAGCATTCCTATGGAGGACAGCAAGGGTTTTTGGCAGTGAATCCGCCAGTGTGGCACATAACCAGGCTTAAAGCACCTCGGGTGCGTTGAAACCAGATTCGCCAGCCATGACTGATGACACTGAAACAATAGACGTGGGACGAAAAATATAGTCAGTGTGGTATCCGGGCAAGGCCCAGCATGCAAGAGGGGGTCACCCAAACAAGCACAAGCATAGAATGCGAAACAGGCCATTTAAAGGTGGGGGTCACCCTCAGATAAAGTGTCTAAGGCCCAGGGTCCAAGTACCATTGGAGTGAGGGGGTTACCCAGCCCAGAAAGTGCTACAGGGACACTCTTAAGGCCTAGCAAGGGCTATATTGATATAGGGTACAGAGTACCAGTATTACATAAAGGGGGGTCACCTCACCTATACATAGACCAGAGGCCTAGCTCCACAGAGCACACACCTACGGGGAAAAACGGGGAAGGCAGGCTGGAAACATAGCCAGCAGTAGTGGGTCCATGGGGTTGAAGGTCTGGGCCACACGCAGAGCCATGGGTGCAGGGGGCCCCAAAATAATGGTCACCGTGGCTCCAACAAAATGGGCGCCACAGCCTGGAGAATCCAGTACGGCCTACCTTGCGGTAACAAGTCGCAGAGATAGTGTGGAAAGCAGGGGATGATGGTTTGCTGTCGTACCCTGAAGGTGTCGCTGGAGCACGCAGAGCAAGGGCCAGTCGAGAGGGCTCCCAGGGGAAGCCCCAGGGAGTCAGGCAGCCCAAGCAGACCCAGAGCATGCACCCACAACAACCCAAAATAACCTTGAATATACACATACAAAACAATTATAATGAACAAGTCAAATAACCATGCAGCTAAGCACAAATAAGTTAATATGAAAGAAAAAAAGCCCAGAGCAGATACACTCTCTGAGTTGGAGATTGCTCACCTAGAGGCAGCAGCAAATAAAGAGGTCTTCCCAATTGGTTGTATACTGCTGTTGTTTTGTTCTGATTGGTTGTTCTGAAAAGTTATGTTAACTGTTTCTTTGCTGCTGGAGGTTTTCAGTAAAGAAGGTTAAGCAAATATGAAGTCTCCTGCCTTGCCTTAAAATTACTTATTGTCATACATCTTCATTCTATCATTGTAAAATTCTGCAGAACATATTGGCGCTATTTAATGCACATAATACGTTTAAAAAAAACCAATAATACTGATTAATCCTTACCTATAGAATTAATTTGTTACTTATAAATCCTGCATGGTCGATGAAGCCAGATGAATTTGAAGATGGCTTTTTCCATTGAATATTGTTTTTTTAGATGCGTAATAAGATAAATAAGATGTGTTCAGGCCAGCATAATGCAAGATAGACTTTATCATAGAATTCTGGATGTATTAAACATTATCCAGCCAATTTCAAAACAAGGCAAGGTTAAATAACATACTGTTTTCTACGTATTGATTAATGCAAGCTTTTGTTTAGCTGGCGGGCCCATGGCTAATTCACATGCTGCACCAAGATAGACTACCGACAGATATTATTGACAGAAGTAGTCGATATATTTTAGAATCAATTGTCCATCATGAAAGGAAAATGTAGATTTAGGTTTTTTTTTTTATCTTGCACTATGAACCTGCCCTGCCCTGAGTTGTTCAAAGAAAGACAGATTTAAAACTTTAGCAAGAGAGATTTGTGAGATATCCCAGACTTTATCCCTAGTTTCCTTTTAATCTATCATACTCCACCAGAGAATAAAGCCAGTGACAGTTTTATCACAAGCATCCAGATCCAGTCTAAAGTAGATATTTCTGTAGAGCAGTCGTGCAAACCTTGATTAAATAAATATGACGCAGCATCAAACATTTATAAAAGGCAGAAGCACAACTGGCTCATTGTGGAGTTAGTTTTACTGACAAATATAATACAAAGTTTTATATTGGTTTTCTTAACTTTTCCTATGTTCTAAATATTTATAGAATTCATTTGACAAGGAACAATGTAGCAATATTTCTATTGTTATTATATTCAGCACTGTCAGTGTGATTTTGTTTGTTTAGGCTGTTAAAGGCCCATTTCAAGGACCATAATTACTACAGCTTATTATTGTAGTTGTTCTGGTACAAGGAGTCTATTGGTGCTGTCTCTTCAGTTGCTTTCAAACCATATTTGTCAAAACTGGGCGATTCCTTGGTATTGAAAGCTTGGCCCCTCAACTTGTTACACAAATATTCAATCAAGGTGAGCTTAAAGTAACTTTATTCACAGATGATATTTCAGCTACTCTGATCAAACCTGTGACCTGATAAGTAACATATCAAAATGTATACATAATATATATATATATATATTATAATGCATGTAATATATACTCAAAATTATACTTTGACCTACATTATTGTGCTAACTATGCAAGTTATAATTCAAATATAAATGTAACTGGCTCCCAATTGATTGATGATCTCAGCCAATCAAATGTTTTCCCAAAGGAAAGCATTGGGAGACCAGTGCGCAATTGTATTAATTTCCCATCAGCAATTGTTGCAAAAATCTGCACTGTACCAATGAGATTGTCTCTTTGATTTTGAATCCATTATTTTGTCTCAAGTGCCTCTAGTGGCTGTTCGATCACCACCCAAGGTAGGTTAACCATGGAATAGTAACTTTGAGGAATGGAAATGTTTTCAGCTATAGGGTATAATGAGGATGGCAAGACATCTAGACCACTTCATTGAGATAAAGTGACATGGGTGCCTTTAGGAATTTAGCAGTGGAGGAATTTCTTCATTAACATTTATTAAATGGGAATATTCTTTCAAAACAAATGTAACAATCTATAGCGTTTAAAGTATTCCAAGAGAATGTTAAACCTGTTTATTACGTTAATGAAACATTCTATTAATTACATGTTCTATATTTTTTATTTTAAGCTTTACTTATTTTTTTGTTAAGCTGACAGTATCTTAATTTATGACAATTAAATAAAGGTCGTCCACTGAGAATACAGAGAATTGCTTTGTGGACAAGTAAAAATTACATACGTGCTAATTATTCATGAGATCCGGATTGGGTCAGACTCGCTTTGACTTGCTATATTTTTCACATTAATGTAATACATTTTCTGTCAGATAGTGAGTCATTTGCATATGTCAAAGTATTATAAGTTGAATAAAAATGTAAGTGGTGTCATATTTGTAAAGCAACTTATCTGATCTCTCTAAGCTACATATTGTGGCATGTAAAATGGTGTTGGTCCTTTGACCTACTCTGAATTCAGGGCATTAGAAGGGGTACGGGAAAAAAAAACCTAACACACCAGTGCATGGAAAGTACACATTAAATTATGCATTTAGAGTAAAATAAATTTACTTTCTTTACTAACAATGAAATGTTATTCAATTTAGACAGCTGTTGGCCGCAGGGAAATTTTACTCTGGCATTAAGCTACTGTTCGCTTTGTCTTGGACAGTTTTCAGTCGGTAACTTGGTGAGGTCCTTATAAAGGTACACTATAGGCACCCAGACCAATTCATCTCATTATATGGTCTGGGTGCAGTGCCCCTGTCCCCCTTAGTCTTGCAATGTAAAATATTGCAGTTTTAGAGTAACTGCAATGTCTACATTGCAGTACTAATACTGCCTCTAGTGGCTGTCTGCCAATTTGACTGTGTGAAATGACAATGGACATCGTCACACTCTGCATGAGGATGCCCAGCATCAGAGAACCCCAAAGGAAAGCATTGATGCAATGCATTCCTATGAGGAAGTCACACAAATCGGATGAGGGGGCTTCAACCCAGCATCGAGGAAACTCGGTGAAAGAATAGGATACGTTATTTAACCCTTTACAATGCTGGGAGGGGGCAGCAGAGACAGAGGAATAAGTTAGTATTAGAAATACATCTTTGTGTTCCTAACACTAAAGTGCTCCTTTAAGAGCTGTTCTAGAATTATATCAGCAGCGAGAATGCATGTTTGTTGTCTTTGTTTGATATGAGACACTTAATAAAATACTTTATGAAAATTGCTTATTGGTGGCATAAAATGCCAGTTATCAATCGAGCGGGCAGTACCTTGCACATCTTGCACAACAAGTGAATATTTAAAGCTAACAATTTGTCTCTCTGTCATTGTCTAATAAAATATTTCTAATGATGAATAATTATTAGATTTTATATTCACATAGTATTTCTCTAAGAAATTCAGGATTCTTACTAAGTAGTTTCTACTCCAGTGTATCACCAAAGACTCCTACTCTTTACCCTCAGTTAGAAGTGAAAGGCAAGAAAACATGACTTCTCCATAGGCAAAACATGCAATAAGTACTTGCATTCACACACTC